TACTGGTCATGTATTTTATCAATCACCCCATGAGGGGGAGGGAGGTTTATCTATGGGTTACAAGTGGAGATGTTTGTTAATCACTAGTGTTTCTGTTCCAGTTGCAACCCTTCAGTTACTGAAGCAGCGTGTGCTCAAACACACTGGAATCTGGACAGCGTTTAGGCTTGGGCTTCATAAGTGTTATACAATGACAAAATCCAAGAAGAGAAATCTTGACCACTACCCTTTACATTCAGTGGTGGTAGCATTACCATTCACGTAGATGTCTGGGTATTAATGATAAATGCACTTTTACTACATTTTGTGTTTAGGCTGGAACAATGACCAGAGATGTAGAATAATGTTCTTTCCATCCAGGAATTACCATTGCTGCATACCCCACAATCAACAAACTAGGGTGGGCATTGACCAGAAACTTAACTGGACTGGACCAGCCATACAAATATTGGTACTACAACAGCAGATGAGAGGCTGGGGATTCTGAGATGAGTAACTCTTAACTTGATTTCCCAAAGCCTGTCCACTACCTGCAGGATGCACTGCTAACAACTCAACAAGGCTCGTGAAATGGCACCTTTCAAACTTGCAAATAACATTCCCTTTGAGTTATGCGGCTGTGTGCGTGACAACGTGTTGGCGGGCTAATTGTGGCCCTGACTTCTGGTTCTGGAAGTCACTGCCACATACAATTCTTGGAGGCCTGCACAGTTGGCAAGAAAGCTAGAAGAAACATTGCCTGCAACTTCTGCCACTTAGGGAAGCAATAACAGCAGGTATGTGGCAATATACCTATCTGAAAGTTCCCTTCCAAACCATACACTACCTTGACTTGGAACTATATTGTTGATCCTTCAGTGTCAAAGGTCAAAATCCTGATGCTACCTCCCTAATACCACTAGGGGGGTACCTAGACCACCACACTCCCATGGGCAATTAGGGATCAGCAATAAATTGGCCCAGTCAACAACGCCCACATCCCATGAACGAATACTAAAACAATCTAACTGGATCACAGATCTGTCGTTGAGTTGTACAGCTTGGAAACAGATCCTTCAGTCTAACTCATCCATGTCAACCAGATATCCTAAATTAATCTAGTCCCATTTGCCAGCATTTGGCCCATATCCCTCTAGATTCTTCCTATTCATTTGCCTATCCAGATGCCTTTTAAATGTTGTAATTGTACCAAACTCCACCAATTCCTGTGGCAGCTCATTCCATACATGCACCTCCCTCTGCGTGAAAAAGATGTTCCTTAAATCTTTCCCCTCTCACCTTAAACCAAAGCCCTTTAGTTGTGGACTCCCCACCTGTAGGGAAAAGACCTTGATTATTCACCCTGTCTGTACCCCTCATGAATTTATAAACTTCTAAGATCACCCCTCGGCATCAGACACCAAGGAAAATAGCCTATTCAGCCTCTCCCTATAGCTCAAACCCCCCAACCCTGGCAACATTCTTGTAAATACTATCTGAACACTTTCAAGTTTCACAACATCTTTCCTACAGCAGGGAGATCAGAACAGAACACCGCATTCCAAAAGTGGCCTAACCAATATCCCATACAACCGCAACTGTCTGGGAGGAATTTCTCCTATGTCGACCGTTAAATGAGTCAAATCACTTTCGGAGATCTTCTATGATCACGTTGTTTCTACATTTAAGAAAGCCAATTGTTGGAGGATAGAACTGGAGCCAATCTTTACTCAGTTTAATATTTATTTGCAAAGGGTAATGTTAGAAGTAATGATCTCCTATCTAAACCATTTCAGTGAGTGTCTCCTTATATCTGCTCAAGTAAAACTGCTAATTGGCCTCCACCTGAATGTCATTAATGTAATTAAAATAATTACTATAAAATTAACAACAGTTAAATGCACAGATGCTGCTAAATGGTTTGATGCTAATTGGCAACTTCTGCGTCAAGATTTCTAATGTTTTGCAGCTTCATAAGGCTGGAAGGAAACAGAACCAGAATAAAACAAACATGTTACCTCTAGGCCAAAAGTCCTGGGTTCAAGTCCCATCTGCTCCAGAGGTGTTATAACATGCCTGAACAAGTTGATTAAACATTTTTAAAATAAACAGTTTGATGCACAGTTAAACAAACATAATTGATTCTGTTAGTTGAAACTTATGACAGATGAATTCTACAGGTTAAATTGTACAGTGACATAATTTCTCAGTGTAATTTGCAATATCTGTTGTGAGGTGTCAAAAGGGGAAACCTGCTGAATTTGAAACTAAAATCAAATCTGGAGCAATTATTCTGAGTGGATTGTCCTTGTTCAAAGTGGTTCCACATCAATTTCATTATACATGTGCCTGTTTTCTTGTAGGTTATGAGGTCACCGTTCTGGTCCGTGACCCATCCAGACTGCAAGCCGAATGCAAAGGGTTAAAGGTCATCGTTGGTGACGTTCTGAACAAGGAAGATGTCCAGAAGGCAGTCAAAGGTCAGGACGGAGTAATCATTATTCTGGGAACCAGGAATGACCTGAGTAAGTTACTCTGCCAGGCTGTGGACAGCTAAATTGAACTTGCTTCATATGATGTGATTAAGTTGAAATATCATAGATGAGTTTAAAGGAAAAGCTAAATAAGCAAATGAAGGACAAAGGAATAGGAAGATGTTCTGGTGAGGTGAGATGACCTTCTTCCTTTTTTTAAAAAAAAAAAAGGCTCATTTGGAGCATCAACACCAGCATAAAGCTTTCAGACCAAATGTGCTGTTTCTGTGAGTCAATTCATTGTCAACATAAATCATCTACGTTTCTGACACGCTAATTGAGTTCTTGGATAGATCTACCTATCATTTAATATAATAAAAATATTTAGTCAACATACAGCTTTCTCTGTTATGTATTCCTGTGTCAACATTTATGTTAGAAATTTCCTATATAAACTTGTCATACTGTAATTATGAACTTTAGCCAGTAGAGGTGCCAACATTGACAAGATTAAATGGGCAGATTCCCTCTCCCATCTATGTTACTGATGATTGGCTTGCTCAGGTAGCTGCTGAGTTTTTGTTCCCTTCGATTCAATGAGGTACCCTGCTATTGCTCATTGAGTGATAGGTGACTCACTGATGTAATCCAGTAAAGGCTTTGGGCCTCTCACTTAGTCCACTGGATGGTATAGAGTGATGGGGTCTCTGATGTCATCACCCAGTCTGGGTGTAAATATTTTTATCAACATTTTTGAAAGGGAGAGTTACATTACCCTTTCACACTGGAGATAAACTTTTTTTCCCTGATGTAGTGGTGTGGAGGCATGCTTGTCATGGTTCGCAAGCCCTTTTGTATCTTCACCTGATATTTTAGTTTTTTTTTTGATGCTTTAAAACATGACTTATAGGGTTTATGTGATTGGTGTGGTGAGAGGGGACAGAACACTTATGTACATTCCAGCCTTACAAGGCTTGTCCTTTTACCCACTGGCTGTCGACTATAAGACAATGAGCCATAGACTTCCACCCTCCACCATATAATGAGGCTTTCGATCTAGTGATTGAAAGAAGCACATGTACAGAATAGTCTTTCAATAATGTAATTAGAGCCTGGTATATTTCAAATGACTGTAGAATCATAGGTTCCCTACAGAAAGAGGCCTTTCAGCCCATCAAGTCTATACTGACCCTTCAAAGTGCATCTCATCCAGACCCAGGACCCCAATCCCTGTAACCCTGTATTTCCTGTGGCTAATCCACCTAGCCTGGACACTATGGAGCAATTTAGCACGGCCAGTCCATCGAACTTGCACATCTTTGTACTGTGGGATGAAACTGGAGCACCCACTGGAAACCCATACAGACACAGGGAGAACATACAAGCTCCACACAGGCAGTTGCCCAAGGCTGAAATCGAACACCGGTCCCTGGCACTGAAGGGCAGCAGTGAGCCGGCACTGAGATGCCATGCCACTCATTATGTATAGTTGTAGTTTAGTACTTGAGATTCTTTAAATCTCTGTTTATTGAATATTAAGGCATTTCCTGACCTTGCCTTCTCATTGACCAGTCTGATATGAACCCAAACTCTTGGATGTGGTCATTAAACCACATGATAATAGACTTGTTACACTCCTTGTAGGTGCACCTCACTTGGCATTGAACCTCTGGGAGTGTAAAACCTTTAAATGAGCTTTGGACTTGGAGTAGCACGGTCATAACTCATCACTTCATATCACCTTTGTTTCTGCCTCCACAGACCCCACCACAATGATGTCTGAAGGAACCAAGAACATTGTTGAAGCGATGAAGGCCCACTGTGTGAGGAAGGTGGTGGCCTGCATGTCAAGTAAGTTTAAGGCTGATAGCCAAAAAAAAAGGCTTGCATATATATGGCAACTTTCACAACTTTGGGACATAAGCACTTTGTTCCTGAAGAGGGAGGAGAAATAAACTACCTCCTGATTCATTTCACTGACTTCCACAATTAGTGCTTTTTTAAAAAGATAGATGATTGTGTTTCTTAGCTTCTGTGCTGAAGCCTTTCCAATGAACCCACAAACCTCCAATTCAGAGGTGAGAATGCTATGAGCTAAGCCATAGATGACTCTTTATTATGATGTTATCTCATCTTCCAACTGGTTAACAATCTGCTATTCAATGGTGTTTAACATAATATTGAATGTCTAAAATAGGAATGTTGAAATTCTCCTCCTGTTTTTCTGAATTCCCTTTGTCAAGGGGGTGTTTATGGGATTTTACTATCTTGGAACAGTTAATTAGCAATAGTTACTGTACCTATTATTTCATTAAGTATTTCAATAGAGTTACAGCTAAACCAATTCTTTCCTTTATTTGTTTTTTCTTTTGTTGTATTTTAACTATAGTGTATGAATAAAGTGTGTTTTGCTTCAAGTCTGGTAGTTTGACCAATCGAATTGCATCTGGAACACAACACTTTACATCTGCAATTCCAGCAGCCGGAAGAGAACCCCCAACTTTCAGCTATAATGAAGTGAGGAGAAACAGCTTCCACATCCAGTTTCAAGACCCCAGCTCCTGGTTCTGTAGGAGCTGGCCCCATCCATTCAGTCTGCTTCTATTGTTCCAACTTAAAAAAACAACCCAAGGCGCCTCAAACAGTTACTTAATGGGCTTTCAATAGGCAGCTGGGAATGTCTGCCTTGAAACCTCTGTTCAAACAAAAACTGGAACAAACTACTATTCTTAAAGCCATAGTATCATTACAATATCCCATTGACTCCTTTGCATGGCGTTCATTTGGAGTGAATTGCATTGTCATCTGTAATGCTAGTGTCCATGGGAAGATGCCAAGATGGATTGTTCACTTGGTACCTTGGGCTGAAAATAGTGGCAAACCCTTCAGCCTTGTCTCCTGCACTATGTGCTGATCTCCACTGTCAGTGAGGATGGGATATTATAGAGATTTCTCTTCCAGTTAGGGTGGTGAAAGATGCAGGCAGTTGAGTGCCCTTTCTATATTTCTACAGCATTCCTATTATGGGATGAAGCCAAGATCCCACCACGATTGCTGGATATCACTAAGGATCACCAGAGGATGTATGAAGTACTGAAGAATTCTGGGCTGGACTATGTGGCTGTATTTCCACCTCACATTGACGGTGAGATCTTTTTTACTGTGTTTGACTAAAATTACTGCAGGGCATGGGCCAGTGGCATCCAATCTAAGTGGAAGCGTGATGTGCAGGCTGAGTGGATTAACCATGGGAAATACAGGGTTATGGGTTTAGGGGTAGGTCTGGGTGGGATGCTCTTCAGGGTGTCAGTGTGGACTTGATGGGCTAAATGGCCTTCATCCACACTGTAGGGATTCTATGATTATATCGAGGATGGAATAATTTGGTAATGCACATATAGAAAAATTATTCCCACTGGTGAGTGGGTTCAAAATTCTTGATAAGAAATCTGCAGGGGAGCTAGGGAGAAATGTTTTCATACGGAGAATTGTTAGGATTAGAGTGCCTTAATTAATTACTGAGAAACTGTACTGCCAAAGACAAAGGCATCGACCCTCACACTTTCACTCTTTTAAAAAGAAACTGTATCTCACTTGATGCAATTGCAATGTTTTAACTACAAATAGATTTATCATCAGCACATTGTCAGCCCTCCAAATGCCATACTGTTCAATAAAATAATTAATTGGAAATAGTCATAGTTATACAGCACATAAACAGACCCTTCAGTCTAACGCGTCCATACTGATCCGATATCCTAAACTGACCTAGTCCCATTTGCCAGCATTTGGCCCATATCCCTCTAACCCTTCCTATCCATATACCCATCCAAGTGCCTTTTAAATGTTGTAATTGTACCCGCCTCCACTATTCCTCTGGCAGCTCATTCCATACATGCATCACCCTCTGTGAAAAATTTGACACTTGGGTTCCTTTAAAATCTTTCCTCTCTCTCCTTAAACCAATGCCCTCTTGTTTTGGTCTCCCCTACTCTGGGGGAAAAAGACCCTGGCTATTCACTCTATCCATGCCCCTCATGATATTTTTGAACCTCTTATGTCATCTCAGTCTCCGACAGTCCAGGGAAAATTGCCTCAGCCTATTCAGCCTAACCCAAATCTCAAACCCTCCAATCCCAGCAACATCCTTGTAAATCTTTTCTGAACTCTTTCAAGTTTAACAACTTTCTTATATCAGGGAGACCAGAATTGAACACAGTATTCCAAAAGTGGCCTAACCAATGACCTGTACAGTCACGACATGACATCACAACTTCTATACTCAATGCATTGATTAATGAAGGCATATGCCTTCTTCACCACCCTGTATACCTGTGACTACAATTTCAAGGAATTATGCCCTGTAGCCCTAGGTCTCTTTGTTCACCAACACTCCCCAGGGCCCTACCATTAACTATACAAGTCCTGCCCTGATTGGTATTACCAGAATACAACACCTCATTAATCTAAATTAAACTCCATCTGCCACTTCTCAGCCCATTGGCCCATCTGATTTAAGGTCCTGTTGTACTCTGATATGACCACCTTCACTACATTACACCACTAATTTTGGTGTCATCTGCAAACTTACTAACCATACTTCCTATATTCACACCAAGTCATCTTATTATTAGAATGGAATAACCTAAATGTGACTTGTTGGAGGTTTATGTTGCAACTTCTCAATTTGGTCTTAGCCAGAAATTTGGGAAGAAAGTACAAAGTTTAGATGCAGGAACTGCAAATGTGGCCTTGTACAATTTACACACCAACACCAGAAGGGATGGCAAATGAAGCAGTGAAGGGGAAGGAGAATAAGGTGATGGAGGGCAGCACTGATGGTGTCAGTGGCACAGATGTCCTGCTCCAGTGGCTTGGTGGGAGTTACTTGAATTTTACAAAAGAGCTGGGCAGGCATCTGAGAATGACAAGCTTGGAGAGTCATGAACAAAAGGGTGGAATGCGGTACTGAATGTGTCTACTTTCCAAAGATCCAGGAGAGGTTCAACAGGCCAAGTAATCTTCTGTGCTGTGTATTTTCATAGTATTGATGTTGAGCATTTAGATCCATCAGTTCTTATTCAATAGTGCCAACTGGTGGTTGAGATAGATTATGCAACAGCTTGCAGAATACAAATTTTAACACCATGTGGCACCAGTAGCTGCACTTAAACACAAAACACCCTGTTCTGAGGAAGGGTCACCGGACCCGAAACATTAACTTTTTTTTTTCCTCCACAGATGCTGCTAGACCTGCTGAACTTTTCCACAACCTTGCTGCTTGTTTTTGTTTTGACCCTGTTATAAGAGTCCTAGAGCACAGACAGGCCCTTCGGCCCAAACTGGTGCATGCCAACCAAAATGTCCATCCATGCTAACCCCATTTCCCTGCACTTGGCCCGTATCCTTCTAAACCCTTCCTATCCATGTATTTGTCCAAATGCCTTTTAAATGTTGTCAATGTACCCATCTCAACCACTCCTGCTGGCAGCTCATTCTATATGTGTACCATCCTCTGTTTAAAAACAGTTGCCCCTCAGGTTCCCGTGTATTCTTTCCCTTCTTATCTTAAACTGATGCTGTCTAGTCCTCAATTTCCCCTAGGAAGAAGACTGAGTGCATTCACCCTATCCATGCCTCTCATGATCTTCTACACTTTGATAAGATCCCTCCTCATTCTCTGCAGTCTAAAGGAAAAAGTCCTAGCTTGTCCAACCTCTCCCTATAATCAGTCCCTTGAGTCCTGGTAACATCTTTGTAAATTTCTTCTGCACTCTTTCCAGTTTAATAACATCCTTTCTATAGCAAGAATTACATAGAGCTCTGGTGTGTCATAGTTTTCTGGGAGATCTTCAAGAGCTGGTTTAAATTCTACTTTTTATTTGAAAGCATTCTCAAATTGGGAGGAATTTTGCATATATTTTTACATTTGTATCGAAGCATGTTCCACTTAAAGTCACTTTCTACATCCTCCGCATGTCCCAAAACATTTCCAAGCTAATTCAGATGTTTTCTATCCTGTGCAGCGGAAATTCTTCCTTTTTGTATCACTTCTATCTTGATATTCCTGTGAATTTCCTCTATCCCCAAAATTCCTGTTTGCCCCTTATCCTGATAATTCTATTTTAATCTATCCTATGCTAATGTTCTTCTGTGTTTTTCTATTTTTGTACTATAATACTTCTGTAACACTAACATCAACAGTTACAAGCTATTGAGACCCTGAGCGGATGGAATAATCTCTACTAGAGAGACGTACGTTGGAGATCATTAGGCGTGTAATAGTGTGTCAAATAATAGTCACTCTTGGTTAAGACAGAGATCTTGGGCACAACACAATGAGTGGAGACTATCCAATCTCGGGGACCAGTCTCTCATCAACTCCGAATCCCAAACCTCATGATAAATTAAAGATTGCATTATGAAAGGCAGATCAAGCCACTTCTATATCCAATAATGTATGCTCTTGGTTAGAATTTCTTTCCGGGGTAATCTATAATAAACTGTGCAGCTTCAAATTCGATTGAGGTGATGTTTCTGGGCACTTGTTGAAATAAATGACAGGCAGTTTATTACCACTTTGTCTAGGGCTTTGGGCCAAGTGCTGGAAAACAGGATTAGAATAGTTAGGTGGTTGTTTTTGATGGGTGCCTGTCAATTGGCTGAAGGGCTTTTTTTTGCGCTGTAGCTCTCTGTGACTCTCTCCCCCTCTCTGACTCCGGGTAATAAAAAGTTTCTCCTGTATTCACTATTGGATTATCTTATGTTTATGGCAATAGTGTTTAATGCAGATTACTGCTGGAAAGAAATTCTAACTGGCTTAGAGCTAAGGTTGTATGTTGGCCTGGAAATTCTTCCTCTTTAGTATCGCAATATCCTGAGGGTGTTTTGTATCCAGAAATTCTTGTTTGCATCTTGTCCAGATATTTCTGTTTTATCTTCCCTATCTCCGTTCTTTTGTATCTTCTCTATCCTGATATTCCCATGTGGCCTCTTTATCTCAGCACTCCTATTTTCATCCTCTGTATCCATGTTTTTTTATTTATCCCTACCCCCATATCCCTGTGAATTTCCTCCCTTTCACAGCATTCCTGTATGAATCTTCACTATTCCAGTAATTTGTATCATCCTAATCCCAAGCTTCTGTTACACATTGTTTTGTTTCCCTTTCACAGATGCTCATCCCTTGACTAAGGCTTACACTGTGTCAGTGAACGAAAGGGGAGGCCGTGTCATCTCCAAACACGACCTGGGACATTTCTTCCTCAAATGCCTGACGACTGCGGAATACGATGGGAAGTTTGTGTGTGTGTCTGGAAATTATACGCATTCATGATACAGCTTGCAATTTGTGATTACATCCTTTGCTTACTATGATCTGCCAGTACCACTTGTAAACAAAGCTTTTCACTGTATTTCAGTACATGTGACAATAAATAAATTGGCAGAGAATGTGTGGTGGTGTTTAACATGAACATCTCTCCTTTTTTTAAAAAAAAAAAAAAAAAAATCATTGGAAGTTGGAATAATAAATGATGTAAATCCACAAGCATCCTTTCAAGTTTTTGTAGCTATGAATGTTCATGCTTTTTAAAATTTAACATGTTTCTAATCAACCTGTTTAGAGATGTTATTACACAGTTCTGGAGCAGGTCCTCTGGAAGATGGAAGACTTGCTTCAACTCCAGTTCGATGGATGGTAAATCTGACTCGGGACAGTTGGTGATTAATGGGTTGTTGGAAGATTTTAGTGCTTCCTCCAATACCTTGACTTCGCTTTGGAATCAAAAGTATTCATGGGGTCTTCACAGCTATCAGGTCATTGAGAACATCAATTCAACCCTTGGGCAACTGTGTGGAGTTTGATGTTCTCCTTGTGTCTGCATGGGTTTCCACCAGGTGCTCCAGTTTCCTCCCACAGTCCAAAGATGTGCAGGTTAGGTGGATTGGCCATGGGAAATGTAGAGTTACAGGGGTATGATGTGGGGTTGGATCGGGGGTGGGATGCTCTTCAGAGTCGGTGTGGATTTGATGGGCTGAATGGCCTGCTTTCATGCTGTAAGGATTCTTTTTTTTTAAAAAGTTCAGTGAAAGCAATATAAGGTATTAATTGGAAACATTGGCTTTGGTTGAAAAAAAGCCTTTTTTTTTAATGTGTGGCTCTGTTGTGGAGCACATTGCCATAGAGTACAGGTATTCATGAAATCCCGCCTTCAATTGCACAAAGCTTCGAGATGGCTAATAGATAGTCTTTCTTGCATTGACCATATCTTAAGAATAAATGTAAAAGAGGAGACCGCATAGGCTGAGAAAACTACCTTTCTCCTCTACCAGGAATCTTTCTTCATCATCTCCTCAACTTTTAAATCTATTTGCATTCCCCTAGACCCATGAAGTTCCTGCTTGTCTATGCAAACATCATTTCACTTCAAGTACTGCTATTACTTCAGGAACAAAAGCAGAATTTGCTGGAAAAGCTCAGCAGGTCTGGCAGCATCTGTGAAGGAAAAAATCAGTTAATGTTTTGTGTCTGGTGATTTTTTTTTTTCCCCCTAAGAACAATTATTGCCATTACTTACTTATTTTTTAAAATTGGCTAGTTCGTGTCCATCTATGCTTGTTGAGTTTGTCCAGCTGATATTTGGCAACTTATGCCAATTAACTCGAGCCCTTTGATCAGGCATTTCACATCACCTCCAAAGTCAGTGCCACCACAGTACATCTCACACTACTGTTAATTGGCTTTCAATGTCTTGGCTACTATTTATCCCTTATCATGTGGCTTTTAGCAAGTTATTTACAGGGGCTTAGGAAAATATGGTTGATATATTTTATTCATAAAGGATTCAGTCTTTTGAGGAGGGGGAGATTTTCTTGCAACCTCTATCCTTTTCTTGCACTGAATATTACCAATCATTTTCTAATTAATCTTCTGTCAGTACAGCACCACAGTATTGCTTAAAGATACATTCTGTTGAGTACTTTCATCTTTACTCATCAGGACAGATGCAAGAATGCCAAATTTCAAAGGAAGACATCAGTATAAACTGTTCCTGTCTTTGACATTTGGCATTCTTGCATCTGTCCTGATGTAAGATGAAAAGGGACTGCTGCTGCTGATGATAACTGGTCATTATTCATTCCTTAATCAATATCACTAAAATCAGAATTCCTAATCTTGACACCAATTTTGTTGTTTTTGGGAGTTTGCTGTTTATAAATTGGCTGCTGTGTTTCCCATCTTCTGACAATGGAATGGAATGGGGCCACAATGGAATGGAATGAGGCCACAATCAGATTAGCCATGACCCCATTAAATAGCAGAGCAAGCTTGAGGGACCAAATGTAAAGCTGTATTTCAGAAGATTGTGGTTGCACAATGCAGTCATAGTCTTTGCTTCCACAGCAAGCCTATATCTGAGTTTGTGACGCAGCAAGCGAGAAGCCTGCAATTCCCAGAAGATGCTGGTGAATGCATTTCTGGAATTGACAGAGACCTCTAGAACTCGAGAGATTTTTCATGCTCAGTCATTGGGTTATTCTATTAAGGAAATCGGTATAGTGTAGTAAAGTGGAGTTAAGATAGAAGATCAGCTATACCTTACTGAAAGGAAGAGCAAATCCAAAGGGCCTACTCACTCAGCCATACAGCACAGTATGAATATTTTGGTCCAAGCAGTCCATGCCAACCATAATCCCAAACTAAACTAGTCCCATCTGCCTGCTCCTGGCCATATCCATCCAAACCTTTCCTATTCATGGATTTATCTAAGTGACTTTTAAACTTGTAACTATACCCACATCCACCGCTTCCTGTAGAAGTTCATTCCACAGGTGAACCACCTTCTTTGTAAAAAAAAATTGCCCTCTCCTCTCACCTTAAAAATACACCTCCTAGTATTTTTATGTTCTTACGAGAAGTCCTGAAAAGCTATTGAGAGAACGTGGCAGCAATTCTTGCCTGCAAATCTTACTTCCTTGGTAGGTAAACTAAGAACCAGCTAAAGAGTTAACAGCCAATGAAACTATTTTAGAACATTAAATGTAACAAGATTGTTCTTTGCAGTAAAAGTCAGATGCAAGCTAAAGCATGAATTAGCTTGGGTACATTTTACAAGGGGGAAATGGGTGTCTATTCAGCAATCAAATCAGTTATGCATGGCAAATGAAATTTGGCATTTCCAATTTTTTTAAAATTTACCAGTAAAGTTCTCATGAGATACAATCAAGTGATGCATGTTACAAGATTGTAGCAGACCTGAGAGTCATCATCGTTTGAAAGCACTGTCATACTGGAATTCTACTCCATATGTCTACAGAAAGCTTCAAGGTTAACGTATTATGTAAAAAGCTAACACAAACCATGAGGCTAGTCAGAAAGCACAATATTTTTCACATCAAATGCTATACAAATGATCACTGTAGGAGCTATTGTTTAAATCATGTGTGTTTGAATGAGAATGCCAAGCAATCAGTAAGTAAAATACAGACAACCAAATTCTGAAAGTATTGTTCAGGTTTAGTGAGAAGTTCTGATTCAAAAGTTTTAAATGAAAAGAGACTGATTTAAACAGAGATTTTTCCCACCACCTATTCTTGTTGCTGAAAAAATGTTGAAAGTTAATCTTTAATATGATCCTGACAATAAGAACCTACATCATTAACCAAACAGCAGTACAACTCAAGAGATCCTGCTACTGAACCTGTTAAGGCATGTAGAGATTTAACTATTTAAATAACAGTAGTACGTGATGAGAACAAATTGACTTAGCTACCTCTGGTTGGTGAACAGCACAGTAAATATTTATTTTCTGAAATTGAATTAAAAAATCTGTCAGTGGAGATGTGCTATCGTCTCTCAGTTCCACACTCTGCCATTCGACAGTTTTCTTATTGAGAGGTATAACTGCTGGCAATAAATTCACAAATGCAGTGCATGCTTGTTTAAGGTTAGCTGCTGATATCATTGTGATCTAACAGACAATACATGGCAATGTAGGGTAGAGAGCATCTGATGTTGGCTGTTCAATCGAAATAGGCAGCATTGCCACAGTGACACATGGAAAATCAAAAACCATGTGAAAAATTCCAAGGGGGCTTGCATTGGATGCTGAATGGTTTAAGAATCTAGAATCAGGGGGCAACGTTTCAGGAATGATGGTTCAGCCAACTTGGACTGAGGTGAGGATGAATTTCTTCCCAAAGAGGGTTGTGTACCTTTGGAATCTGCTACCTTCAAGAACTGTGGCTATTCAATTGGGAATCAAAGCTTATTGGGAAGAGGCAAGAAAGTGAGGTAGGAGATCAACCATATGATCTTAATGAATTGCACAGGAGGCTTTAGGGGTTGTATGGCCCTATCCTATTTCCACTTCTTAGGCATACAAGCAGACTTAACATTTTTGAAATGAAAATCCACTGCTCTTGAAAACAAAAACAAGAGATTTGGATCTTCTCACACTACAGGTTGCAACATAGTCTGGAGAGATATATAGGTATAGTCAAGAAATATAGCAAACATTTTATTGGATTTTCCGATAGGTTGGTGCTAATACCCTGCACATTCTCAAGAGCAGGATATTGTTATTGAGTCCTCTCTCAAAAATAATAGGTCCCTCCTATTTAAACCAGAGCACCAGCATTTTTAAAAGGGGGGGGGGGGGTTTGCACGTGGAATGTTGGGATAGGGTTGTCTTCATGTTTATTTTCAGATCACTTTCAAAGGATAAAAGCAGAAAGAGGGCAGATAAGGACAGAACATATGAGTGTTCAATTACGCTCTTCCACCTTAGCTTAGAACTGGGAGGAGGGGTCATCTATCACAACAAGCAAGGCTGCTTCTCAAGACAGGGAAGAGACCAGGTAATAAAACGTTTGGACATTAGACTTGAAGGCAGTTTGGCTCGAAAAGGTTTGCATTCCTTCCGGATTGTTTTGCTTTTATTACTTAATGGGACAAGTCTACTTCAATTCCTTGATCTTTTCCTCCACAGATTCTCGGCTGTCGTCCAGGACCTCAGCCACCTTCCTGCCCATTTTGTAGAACTGGAAGGTCGGAATGTGGATGATGTCGCAGGCTTCGGCCGTGTCCTCCGAGTCGTCGACGTTCACTTCGTAGAAGTGCACCAGGTTGTTGACCTGGGCGATCTCCCTCATGACGGGCTTCAGGCCCTGGCACGTTTCACACCAGGTGCCCGAGAAGAAGATGACCACCAGACGCTCGCCAGCGTCTTTGATATACTTGTCAAACTGGGTCCTGCTGTTGATGGTTTTCAGGGGAATGCCCCCCGTTGCCTTGGCCGGCGTCGACGGCGGGGTGCCTTTCTCGGAGGATTTCGCCAAGTCCTTGGCAAGCCTACCTCTATCCGACGGTGCTAGATCGGCCTTCAGTGGCCCGCCCTTGCCACGCGACGTGCCCACCTCGGTGGGTGAGTGGGCCCCCTTGGCCTGGTGTGAGGCCCCGGTCTTCTCCGAAGCCGGCGGCGCGCTCTTCCCCTGCGCCTTCTTCGGTTTCCCCAGCGTGCTGCCCGCGCCCGCCATTTGCTCCACCCCTCTCTGACACGTGCTCCCAGCCGTTTTCGCCCCAGCCCCTTAGACACGCCCTCTCACTATGACGTTAGAAGCAGGCCACGCCTACATTGACAAAACGGACAGCTGGAGGAGCCGCGTCGCCCGCCCGCCAATCGGAATTCAGCTGACCATACAACCCCAGGCCCGAAACCTCAGCCTTCCTGCTCCTCTGATGCTGCTTGGCCTGCTGTGTTCATCCAGCTCTACACCCTGTTATCCCACAATTGACGTCCAGTTCGCCTTCTCAGGATTTAAATTTGGCGCCACTCAGCTGAGAGCCAATCACGCTTCCCCATAGGTAAAAACATTACCACGTCGTGACTGGCCAGAACTACAACCAACTAGCCAATCACATTGAAGAGGCTGTGACTGACAGTCAGCTGGTCCTTTCATATTCGAGCGGGCGGCCACAGTTTGTTGGTGGGCAACCGAGAGACGCTTCGAACTGAGCGACCAAGGGGTGAAAGGATGGAGACGAATTGAAGTATCCAGCAGAGACTCCACCGTCACTGGGACGGCTTTCAGAAGTTCGCGATTTGTGTGACGTAACCAGGTTACCCATCGGAGATAGTAGGAACTGCAGATGCTGGAGAATCCGAGACAACAAGGTGCAGGGCTGGATGAACACAGCAGGCCAAGCAGCATCATAGGAGCAGAAAGGCTGACGTTTCGGGTCT